CCCCCCCCCCCCTCTTTTCAACATCTTCTCCCCGTTGAAAGTTTTTCCGGGGCGTTCCTGCTTTGTCAGAACGCATAGTTACACAACATGCGTCTGTGCATGGCACATAATTACGCGATGCGTAGTTATGCACACGGGGAGCTGAGTGACAAGACGTTTTTTGGGCAAGCTTCCGTTTCTTACTGTGTTCGAATGGACCCAGTGAGGCGAGGACCACATCTGCTTCGCCCTTAACCCATCAGCGACAGCCTTAAAGGGCGAAGCCTATATGACATAGAACGTTGGTTACGTACTGTAACCCCAGATTCTATGAATATAGGCGTAGCCCTTTAAGCGTCGGGCCTCACTGGCTCCTAAATGGCTGAAGAAAAAAGCTATTTTGGGAGCCGATTTCCCGCTCTTAACGTAATTTATACGGACCGGGTGGGGCCCACACAGCAGGTGGGCGTGGACTAAATTTTTTCAGTGCTTATGCTCCGCATAACGGGATAAACCCATCAGCGACAGCCTTAAAGGGCTAAGCCTATATTCATAGAATCTGGGGTTACAGTACGTAACCAACGGCTTCTCTAATAGAACATTTAATAGTAACTGTGAAGCAGCAGAGACCCGACCCCCAAGACCAGAGGCAGACGAAAAAGGGGGGACCAGAGCCCAAGACCCCAGGAGGGACCCCGACCGCGGAGCCCCCAGGGCCACCCACATAGGACGAACCACTCACCCACCCCCCAGATCGGACCACAGGGGAGAACCGGAAGATCCCCACCAGCGACCACATACAGTGACCCCTGGGGCCAACAGCGACAAACTCATAGGCCCCCGCCGGAACCCGCCGCACCGATGCAGGTCCAGACCCGGGCACCGAGGCCCGGGCACCGAGGACTCACACCACCCAGGCCAAGGCCTGACAGGGCCAGAGGACCTGAGCCCCACCAGGCAGACACCAGGCCGAGCCGACACACGCCCAAGCGCCCAGCCCCCGACACCAAGGGCCCCAAGCGCGCCGGCAGGCAAGGGCACACCCCACCAGGGGGCCACGCGATAGGGGCGCGATGCCAAGCACCCCCAGTTGTATCAAAGAGGGGGCAATCCGAGTCTCGGCCTAACAAATACCCATTCACACAGGCACATTTATTAACAACAGCTGTAACTGTACAAAATAAATGCCTAAAAAAATTAACTATTTACATATATTAAATAATTTATTTTTTAGACATTTATTTATATATATTAAATAATAATCCTCTTCAGCTGGAGGCAGCTGTGGTTGAGAGGTTAGAGCAGTCGTCCTCCAGTGAGAGAGTTGGGGGTTCGATTCCACCAGCAGTCACATGCTTAAGTGTTCCTGAGTGAGACACTGAACCCCTCATTGCCTCTGATGTGTGTCCCATCAGTGTATGAATGTGATCTAAAGCACTCATTATTCTTTGTAGAGATCTAGTAGATTGTATGAACGGGTAAATGAATGCACAGATGGTGTAAAGAACTTTAAGTGTCTTGATAAGATAGAAAGGCACTTTATAGTCCATTCAGCTGTGCCACCTTCACCTTAGTAAGCGTGTGAAATGCGGTAGTGAGCCTCTAATTGGAACCTTAAACCTGCCGGTCCGACAGACCTGTCTCCTTCCTTGAAATAAACCACGGTTCAGAGTTCATTTAGCCATGCTGTGCCTTTTATAGGAACACAAGAGAGGAAGCTCAACATTAATAAATCAGCAGCTTATCATATCCCGAAGACACTGTCCCGTCTCAGCTGTGGAACAAGACAGCTAAAGCGTTAGCCGTCTTGTTAGCCGCTAAGGACCGTATCTTTAGCGATATGATAGGCTGCTGATCTATTAATTTTGCGCTTCCTCTCTTGTGTTCCTATAAAAGGCACAGCACGGCTAAATGAACTGTGAACCGTGGTTTATTTCAAGGAAGGAGACAGGTTTGTCGGACCTGCAGCCTGCAGCTTCACCCACGCTCAGCTGCTCGTGTTTACTTTTGCTAAACGTCTCCTCTCCTGCCCGCCCACCTCCTGGCGAAGCAGGAAGGGGAGGGGGGGAGGGCTGTGTGTTTGTGTTTGAGGAGGGAGAAGGGGGGGGGCGAGTGGGAGAAAGAAGATGGCAGGATTTCCAAGTATAAAACTATATTGTTTTATATTGAGATAGTCTCAACTGATATCGTAAAAAAAATTCTCAATATTTTTAAAATATCGAGATATCGCCCAGCTCTAGCGCCTAACAAATGACACTTGACACAGGTAATTTGTGGCTAAAATATTGCTAAGTTTAATTGTTTTCAGAGACACCATCTTTCTTCTGTCTGCTGCCACAACTTTAACCTTGAAGACTGTTAGGGTGCATTCACACCAGTCCTGTTTAGTCCGCTTTAATGGAACTCTAGCTTGTTTTCATAGAAAGTCCGGTTTGTTTAGGGAGGTGTGAACGCGCCATCGAACTCTGTCACGGAACAAAAAGGCGAACTCTGGCCCGGGCTAAAACCTAGGTCTCGGTCTGGTAAAAGAGAACTCCAGCGTGGTTCGAGTACAGTGTGAATGCAAACAGACCGGGCCCCGCTCCACAAGCAAGAAGTGGAGTACAGCGCAGGACAAACAAACACACATTTCTCTTACCTTATATGGAGCCATCAGCTGCCTTGTGTGGAAAAACAATATTCTCCATGGTATTCTGTCTCATCTTCTGCTCATGCTAAGTCCATTTTTGAAAAATGACAAAATATAACTCCTAAAACTTGATGCCACTTTGTTTTTGTTTTTATTTCCAGAAGAAGAAGACGTGTCTTCAGAGGTTTTTGTGTCGTTTCTTTCAGTAGTTCTTGGTGCAGCACCCCCACAGGCGAGCGGGGGAATAGGTTGGTTCAACAGGTTGACTCGACTGCACAGTGCAGTGTGAATGCAAACGCACAAGCTTAAATGTAAACAAAATGTCATAAATATTGGTCCCCAACCGAACCAAGTCTAACGGACTATCAGGTGTGAATGCACTCTTAGGTTTACTTTAGTCTCTTGTAAACTCATAAAACGGCAGTTTAAACTGCGTTTAAACATTCCTCTGCTTTACTTTGTATAAGGATACCGAGGGCCACACTGACATGGCCCTTGGGCCCTATGTTGCTCAAGAGTGTATAAAATTATTTGACTAAATACATGTATACTGGAACAAAAATACAGGCAAGAATAATTTTAATTTCAATACTACTTTGTAAATAATAAAAGTTTCACTGTTCTATTTATAGGCAAAACTAGAACAGTTTTTACACCTGTATATCTGAAAAAAACATGACTGTGAGTTCCTTTAAGAACATCTGTGTCCACTTGTAGCTCCACATCCATCTATCAGAATTAAATTTTATGCAGCTCCAGTTAGAGCTGCTACGACAGAGCTTTAGGGCCATGCATCTTGTTAAGTTATGCTTTGGTATTGGTTTTACAAATAAGGAGATACCTAATCTGTTAGCACAGCATCAGATTATTATCAGTATCAAGAACAAGGTTTGGTGGGTTTTATATGTGATTAAAATGTGGCAGAGTGCGGTTAAAGAGAACAGCTCCTCCTTCCTCATTAATCTGTGTCCTGAAAGTTAAATGTAAGGAATAATTATCCTGATGCATGCTCAATAATCCAGGTAGAAAAATCCAAAAAAGTTCAATCTGGTCCTCTGGACATTCAAAAATGTCCAGAGGACCAGATTGAACTTTTTTGGGTAAGGAATAATTGATGTTTACAGTGTGAGTCCAGGTGGTCGTTTGTTAGTAAGTGTTACTGAAGGAAAATGGTATCTTCCTTATCAGCTGCACCATCAGTTATTTGCTGCAGCTCAGACATTATTCATCCTTTACAAAGTTGCTTTTCTTACTGAACAGATCGTACCTTCAGAGCAGCCGTCGTCACTGCTGACACTCAGCCTCTCTGCATTGCCCTGAACGTATTTGTTGTAGAGTTTGATCCTGAGTGCCCAGCTCAGGTCCGGCTGCCTCACTGTGTTCTTCAGTCGCCTCCTGGCATTGGCAAACCAGTTGGACACCTGAGGGGAGGAGAGAAGGTGCAGCACATCAGGAAGAGTAGAGTCCAAACCCTCTCCTCAGTGAAAATGCTTTGCTACAAGTCTCATTGAGGAAACAGTAAAAACAAGGATGACTGACGCAGGAGACACGAAGAGTCAGGCTGAAGAGAAACTCTGAAAGTGAGACATCCAAGATGCTCCTGAGAGATTTCCAAGCCGTGTTTCAATTCTGTGTCAACGCTGAGCAGAATCAAATGCCAGACAGGCAATGAACGCATCATTTCCTTCACTAATGCTCTGAGATGCTTGTCCCCTTCGTGTGCCTATTCTGACATGTGAAGTCTCCCTCCAACAACACGTGTTCTTTCCAGCACCATCTTCAAAATGCAATAAAAGACACTGAAGCCAATGCTCTTCCTGTCACTGAGAGGAGAGACTATTAGATGTTCTACTGGAATAACTTCATGCTCAATAAGTTTCAAGCAGCTTATGACGGAGCAGAGATGGGGGTGGGGGCACATGTTAGAGTACTTAGTTTTTAAATTCTGTCTTTCAGTATCATGTGTCTCAGTAAGTAAAACCATCCCAGGTCCTTTTGTCTCATGTCCAACTCTGTGGAAAACCAGGGGGGAGATGCATCGAGCAACTGTAATTTGGACAGCGGTAGGGGTCGGGGGGAGTGAAGTGAGACAAGGCCTGAGAAAGAGCAGTGATGAGGAGCGATGGACAGACAGACAGATGAGAATAAAGAGGAAGAATGGCACGCCTGCTCAGCTGACATCCAGAGAAGCCAAAACAAATCAAAGCCATGCTTGTCGGTGGCACAGAGACAGCATGCCAACACAGTGAGGATTTCAGAACGGACAGAGACATGACAGCACCGAGGGAATGAGTCACAACATTTACATGGAAAACAGCAGCTGTTGTCCTAAACACAACAGATTTAGTTGTTCTTTAGCACCTGGTGCCAGCTCAATGTTTTCACACTCAAAGAAACGGGAAGTGATGAGTTCAGGATCCCTGGCAGTCTTAGCAGAGGGTCTGTCTGGACTAAATCGTGGAAGAGCTGGGGAGTTCTCAGCCTCCGTCGATGGAGAGACAAAAAAGAACTTGTCAACAATCAGCTGTCATTTTCCATCAGATCATCAGATCAGTTTGACTCAGAATAAATGTTTTGTTTATAAAGAGAGCAAAACGTGTCAAACCTTCACCAGCCAAAATACTTCAGCGCGTTCGACATTCATTTTTTATTTTTTAAGTTAATGAGGAAACACACTGCCCCACAGTGAGAATCTAACATCAATCAAAGGCATGTTTCAGATTTTTTTTCAGAAACATTTCTTCTTGATGGTTTTTAGACAAGCACTGGTTTGATGTCTCAGCTTATGTTTCGGCTGCACCAACTTATCCCAGAAGGCCGACAGATGAAAGCTGCTGGAAAATGTGAGAACAAGTCACGTGTCTTTTGTCACTCACAAACAGTCGTGACCTTTGACCCCGCTGCTGGTGTTTGGGTATCACCTCGAACGTGAGAGCTTCTGGTTCCAAAGCATTCCTCCATTCTCGGCTTCTCCCCGACCAAAACAAACGACTGCAGCTCGCCCCCAAAATGAGAAGCAGATTCAACTCGATGGCCTGCAGCCTGGAAAAGCTGCAGACTCTCTGAGGTTATATCAGCGACCTTGTCAGCCAGACGATATTGTACACACGCAGCTGCACATGCCACAGGAAGAACACACACGGTGCTCAGCGCTGTTTTCCTCTCAGAGGTCAGAGTGTCTGATAAGTCAAGTTGTTCCCTCAACACCAGCGCTGTCAGTTTAGAAAAAATGAACTGTGAACATTAAATGAGTAGTTCTTCGTGTCTTTATCAAGTTATAATAAGAATAATAACACAAGTGTTTCCCTTACCATTATACAAGCAGGGTGCCCCACCCCGTCAACAGAACTGAGCACCCAGCCTACCAAACAGAACTTGCCCCCCAGCCCCCCGCCCAGCACTGACATAGCACTAAGCTAGCGGCGCAAAATACAGGCTCTCTAGCTAAAAAGCTAAAGGTAGCGCTCATGTTGCCTCTTCCTTCAAGCTGAACGCCCCCCACTCAAAAACTGCTGCATGTGTCCGTCCCCTCATCAACAAAAATCATGGATGAGATGAGCACCCCACTATGGCAAGTTAACTAGGGGAAACACTGTAACAAAAACACCAATGTTCCCCTGCTGCACGCTGGAGTTAGTTACATTCTCTACATCAAAATCCCAGAGCAGAACGCAACACGGAAATCTCCAAAACATTTTTATTTTCATCCTAAATATAAAAGCTGAGAACAACTGAAAGACAAATACAAACTAGAAAAATTGCATTTCCTGTAAAAATGCAGTGTGAGGGCTTATTGCTGAAGAACCTGCTGAAAAACAGCTGAAACTAGCTAAAAACAGATGAAATTGAAGAAAAGCCCAAGTTAGTAGAAGAAAGCCGAAAGAACACAGAGTTGCTCAATTCGGTTTAAAGAAGCACAAGTGAACCAATAAAAAAGTTAATTTGCTAAAAATACTGAAATTAGCAAAAAAAAAATAGCTGAAAAGTAGCTGAAAAGACAGAAAAAAAGCTTAAATTACCAAAAGGAAGTCGAGAGAGCAAATTTTTTGCTGAATTAGGCTGAAAAAGTTTAAATGAGTGCAAAAAATGTGTAATTAGCTGAAAAAGCTCAAATTAGAATAAAACAGCCAAATAGTTGCTGAAATAGTCCTGTCCTCATTGCATTGGCTCTCTGTGGTTTTTAGAATTGATTTTAAAATTTTATTTTGTTTTTAAATCCCTGAACGGTCTTGTTCCATCATATCTATCTGAGCTTCTTACCCCCTACATCCCCACTTGCAATCTCAGATCCTTAAATCCGTTCTTACTTTCCACTCCCAGAACTCGACTGGTGAAAGAAGGAGGGAGGGCTTTTATGGTCAGCGCTCCTAATTTGTGGAATGCTCTTCCTTTAAATATTAGACAGGCTTCTTCATTGTCTTCTTTTAAATCATTAGTTAAAACTTACTTGTTTAATAAGGCTTTTAATATTTGAATTTCTTTCTTTTTTATGTTGTTATTTTAATTGATTTGGTATACTTTTGTGTTTCTGTCATTTATGATGTTTTAATTGATTAATGTGAAGCACTTTGTAACATTTTTTGAAAGGTGCTAAACAAATAAATTATTATTATTATTATTATTATAAATAACAGAAATAGCTGAAACGTGCAGAAAAAAGCTGAAAGGAGCAGAACAAGCTGAAATTAGCAGAAAGAAGTTAGAAGAAGTTCAAAAATGTTGTAGTTAGCAGAATAAAACAGAAAGGAGCACAAAACGGCTAAAAAAACAGCTGAAATTAGCTGAAAGTAGCTGATTTTTTTTTTTTTTGCAGAAGGAAGCAGAAATAAGCTGAAGCAGAACAAAATGTGAAGGTATCAGAAAAAGATTGTAAACACATCTAAAGAGCTGAAAGATGGAAAATGAGCTCATTTCATTTTCCATGAAGGAAAAAAATGTCAGAAAAGGCTAAATATTTCTACAAGCTAAAGTTGCACCAGTACAAAAAGTCATAGCAGGATTGTCCTGAAAGAGCTGAACGTTTCAATTTATGATTTGTTGAAACAGCTGAAAACTGCGGGATGAGAAAGATGCTGAAAATTGTAGAGAATAGTTGAAGTAAAAAGAATATTCAATATAAAGAGGATGAGAATAAAACAAGAGAAATAAAAGAAAGTAAGCATGAGCTGAGCAGCAAATGAACATCGGTGCCTGAAGCTGAATGAGAAAGTTCACCAACAAACATCTGAACTTCAGTCCCACAGCGGCAGGCGTCAACTCACTTCTAGAGGCCGTGGTTAAAGAGAAGAGAAGAAATAAATGTGTTCTGAGCTGCAGCGTGTTCAGGAGAAGTTCGGCTCCTCAGCAGACTCGTCCCTCTCACACCTGCAGGACATCACTCACTGTGACTCCTTCAAGGAGAACAAGGAGGCTCACCTGGACCAGAGTCATCTGGGAGCCGAGTGCCAGCAGGATTTTCTCCGTCTTGGTGGGGTAGGGGTTGTCTCTGTGCTTGTAGAGCCACTGTTTGAGGGGCCGTGCCATGTCCTGAAGGGCCTGGCGCTTGTGTCGCACTTTGCCTCCACCAGGTCGACTGCTGCACACGAGCACCAAGCATTCAGACAGGATGGAATAAAGACAAATAATTAGACAAAGCAAAAAGTTTACCTTGTTTCTTTTAAAAAGAACAACATTTCAATCAATCCATTTATTCACTTGATTCAACAAATTGATCATAAGTTTACAAACACATTCTCTGACAACATTTATTTAAACGAGTGAAGAGGGAGCAAGAAGAAGAAAATCTTGTACAGACCTGCCCCCTTTCTCAATAATTACAAAAACTTCATGGCCGTGTTCATTAAAATAACAAAACAAGTTGCAAACAATATATCACTCTCCCCATTAACAACTCAAAAGTGTATAAGAGTTAATCATTCTTTTCTTATAAAGTGTTTTGAATTGGTTTATAGTAGAGCATTGCTCTAGAGCAATGTGGATATCCTAACTGGGCCTTCCTGAAAGCAGAGAAGAAACCCAAACAGGACTCCAGTCAGCCATCAGGTGAAAAGGAGGAACCCAGACCCAGACCAGTGGTCATTCCGTATGTTGAGGGGGTATCAGAGAAACTGAGACGTTTATTTTCTAAACATAACGTCCCAGTGGCTTTTAAACCCCAAAATACATTACGGCAAAACTGGTTCATCCCAAAGATCCAGTCCCCCGGCACAAACAGAGTAATGTTGTGTATGCTGTTCAGTGTCAGGAGGGCTGTGATCAGTCTTACATTGGGGAAACTAAACAGCCACTGGCCAAAAGGATGGTCCAGCACAGAAGATCAACATCATCAGGCCAGGATTCTGCGGTCTACACTCATCTCCAGGCCAGCGGTCACTCTTTCAAGGATGAAGATGTGCACATCCTGGACAGAGAGGAACGATGGTTTGAGAGAGGAGTAAAGGAGGCCATCTTTGTGAAAAGAAATTGTCCATCATTAAACAGGGGTGGAGTCCTATGTGTTCAATTGTCCCCCTCTTACAATGCTGTGATTGCTAGTATCACTCAGCCCTCTGTAAGTAGTAAACAGCCATCAGTGTGCTAATGACCCATTGTTAGGCTGATGGTCCTTCTTGAGCATGTGATCAGCTGGTTTTGGTTGTCAGCAACAAACTGGTTGATCCACTCTGAGAAGGTGCTATTTAAGAGACTGAGCTGAAAACAGCACCTCAGACTGAGGAAGTCTCTTGGATGAGAGACGAAACGTTTCTAGATTTTTTTGCTTTGTTTTGTTTTTTGCTTTTTTGAATGTCCAGAGGACCAGATTGAACTTTTTTGGATTTTTCTACCTGGATTATTGAGCATGCATCAGGATATCTTATGATCTAAAATAACCCCTAAACATTTAACTGCATGTACTCGTTCAAGTTGATTATCATCTACAGACATTACAATAGAATCAACTATTTTTCTATTACCAAAAATTATGAATTTTGTTTTATTCCAGTTTATTGATAATTTGTTGTTTTTAAACCACTAGTTAATAATTAAACATCTCACAAACCATATGTTCTATGATGTTTGTTTTTAAGTCGTTCCCAGAACAAAATAAGTTTGTATCATCTGCGAACAGGATGCTTTGTAATTTTTTAGACACTTCACAAATGTCATTAACATACAAAATAAAAAGCTTCTTTCCTAGCACTGAACCTTGGGGGACTCCACATTTTATATTTTAAAGATCTGATTTTTTTTATTTGTGGGCGGCTGTGGCTGAGTGGTTAGAGCAGTCGTCCTCCAATGTAAGAGTTGGGGGTTCGAATCCACCAGCAGCCACATGCATAAGTGTCCCTGGGCAAGACAATGAAACCCTTGTTGCCTCCGATGTGTGTCCAATCAGTGTATGAATGTGATAAAGCACTGATTAGTAGTGGTGTAACAGTACATGTGCACAAAGTTGCTCCGTGTTTCTCTGCAAGAAGAGAGACTGACAGCACCCCCCCCCCCCCCCCCCCCCAGCGTGAGTCAGTCTGTGTGTGTGAAACGGACTGAATCAACATTCTACAGCCGGACTCGTCTTCATCAAAGAACTCCGAGGACGGAGCTGTGTCTGTTTCAGCTGGTGAGTTTACGTTTGTTAACCTGACTGACCTGACTGAAAAATGTTGGATTTTATACCTGGATTATTGAGCATGGACTTTGTTACATTTGTTAACACGTACATCGCGGTGAAATAACGCTAACTTTAAGACATTAGTGTGTAAATTTATTTTATCTACGTAGCTAGCTAAACTCAGAAGCTAACTAAAGATTGAAAGTAACATAAATCTTAGCTTGTAAAACTGCTCATCCATCCAGTCAACTGCTTAAACAGTTCACCCAATGTTCACTGTTCATGTTAATGTTCTCCTCACAGGAGGTTCTGACCCAGATGTGAGGACAGACAGAAAAGTGAGGTGGAGGCCACAGGACAATCAAATTTTGTTGTTAAAAGTTTGCTGTCTTTTTCTACAGTGGAGCTGCATGGAGGAGGTACGCTGTAAAAGATTTTGTTGACCAGTTAAACTTTTCTCTCTCAGCCTAGATAATGTTTTTGAGCAATAATAACACAACAATGTTATTGTTGATGTTTTGTTCCCATGTCAATTAGGGAGATGATAAGAGCACTAAACCCCAGAGAACCACAGAGAAGATTCAGGAAGAGACACAGAGGTGCAGATGTCTGCATCAACCCTACCTCAGTGACCTGCTGGTGGAATATGAGTCAGAGTCAGAGTTTCTTTATTGTCATTCGCACCTCATGTGGTACATGTGGTGGAGCGAAATTATGTACACAAGGTCCCAGTTACATCCAACAATAAAATGTATAAGAAAAACAGTAATAACATCTAAGATATGAACTAAGAAAAACATCAACTAAATATACACACTAAGCACTCATAACATAAAACATTGAACATCAGCACAAACATGAACATGAGTCTGTGAGCAGATGTGCACGCATGAACACATCAACATGAAACTGATCAGCAGCAACATGAAACAGATCAGCAGCAACATGATATGGTTTTTCACAGTGATTATTCTAGTTAGAGATTCATGAGTCTAACAGCCTCAGGGTAGAAGCTGTTCCTCAGTCTAGTGGTTCAGTGCTATCAAAGTGACAACCAGGTATCTGTGTGTGCAACAATCATCATCTACAGCCTCAGAGTGAACATTTTCTACTGCTGGAGACACCATCAGCCAGGAGCAAGCTGGTTTGTGTCCACAGAAAGAAGACATGTTGATTTTTCTGAAGATAAACTGTTCAGTGAAAAGGTTCTCAGTGTGTATCAGTGAGCATTAGACACTGACGTGTCACTGGTTTGAAACTGTTCTTTTGAACTGGAAATTATTTGTTTATTTTAATGTAAGAAAACTGCTTGGAATAGAAATACCAAAGCTAAAAAATAAAATTCACAATTTGTACTGTAATGTGGAGCGTAATTTTATTCTTGTTAGAATTAATAGTAATTACAAAATTGGTACCGAAAAAAGAACCATACAGGAACCGACACCATAATTATGGACTTGTTTTGATCAGTTGGTCCCTCAACACAATTGATAACATTTCTTTGAAGAGAAGACAGGCTTTAGGTGAGCCGATTTGCCCTGTTGGCATGCACACAGCTGGATCTCATCAAATTGAAGACTTGATGATGTGTCTATCTCTGCTGCCATTTGTGGATGTTCAGAGTCAGAGTCAGAGTTTCTTTATTGTCATTCGCACCTCATGTGGTACATGTGGTGGAGCGAAATTATGTACACGGGGTCCCAGTTACATCCGACAATAAAATGTATAATAAAAACAGTAATAACATCTAAGATATGAACTAAGAAAAACATCAACTAAATATACACTAAGCACTCATAACATAAAACATTGAACATCAGCACAAACATGAACATGAGTCTGTGAGCAGATGTGCACGCATGAACACATCGACATTGAAACAGATCAGCAGCAACATGAAACAGATCAGCAGCAACATGATATGGTTTTTCACAGTGATTATTCTAGTTAGAGATTCATGAGTTTAACAGCCTCAGGGTAGAAGCTGTTCCTCAGTCTAGTGATTCTACACTTAATGCTCCTTAACCTCCTTCCTGAGGGGAGTGGGGCAAAAAGTGTGTGTGCTGGGTGGGTGGGGTCCTTCATGATGAAGGTGGCCCTCTTCCTGCATCTGGAGGTGTAGATGTCTGTGATGGTGGGGAGACTGATTCCAACAGATTTCTGTGCAGCCTTCACCACTCTCTGCAAAGCTTTTCTTTCTGCAGCTGTGCAGCCTCCATGCCACACATTGATGCTCGAGCACAGGATGCTCTCCACTGCACACCTGTAGAAGGAGGTGAGGACTGAGCTTCCCAGACCAGCTCGCCTCAGCCGTCTGAGGAAGTAGAGTCTCTGATGAGCTTTCTTGATCAGGCTGGTGGTGTTGTTGCTCCAGCTGAGGTTGTCATTCATGTGTACACCCAAGTACTTGTAGCTGGAGACCACTTCCACTGCAGATCCTCTTATGTTCAGGGGGGTGTAGGTGTTTTTGTTCCTTCTGAAGTCCACAATCGTCTCCTTTGTCTTCTTCACATTGATGTGAAGGTTATTCTCTCTGCACCAGCTCTCCAGGTGTTCCACCTCTTGCCTGTAGCTGGACTCATCATTGTTTGTGATGCATCCCACCACCGCTGTATCATCTGCAAACTTTACAATGTGACAGCCTGGATGGGTAGCTGCACAATCATATGTGAGCAGAGTAAACAGAAGGGGGCTCAACACACATCCCTGAGGAGAGCCAGTGCTGAGGGTTATGGTGGAGGAGGAGAGGTTGTGGATCCTCACTAACTGTGGTCTGTTTGTTAAAAAGTCTAGTACCCAGTTGCAGATGGAGGGGCTTAGTCCTAGTGTGGATAGTTTGTCCATCAGGGTTTGGGGGATCATGGTGTTGAAGGCGGATGTGAAGTCCACAAAGAGCATACGGACGTAAGAGTTTTTCTGCTCCAGGTGGTTGAGCGCAGTGTGGACCACAGAGGAGATTGCATCCTCTGTTGATCGGTTCTCACGGT